GCCTTCACATCTGCATCAGATCCACCATGTTCATCAATGATGCTGCCCAAATATGTAGAGGTTTTTACATCTTCCAAAAATATTCTCCGTCAATTGTGACTGGATTGGTGCATGCTGTGTTTTATCAGAGAATCTTGCTTTCCCTCTCTGTATATTGAGACTTATTGCTTCTACACTGGTCGTCCACTCCTGCATTTGTTGTTGCGTTCGCCACTGATGTATAGCAGAGTGTGTACATGGTACTTGTCACTGAGTGTGGAAAAATATGCACGCAATTTACTGACTATTAAGCATTCAATTTTTTCCCTAGCTTAGATTTCTACTGCGGACCCAGTGAGAGTGACTTCCTGTGATTGCAAAGAATCACTTACTGTCTTTCGTCACCCTGGTTTACTGTTTTGGTCATGAATCAGGTATCAGATATAAGGTGACTCACTCTCTACATAGTGCACCGCTCGACTATCCAACCTAGCAGTGTTATAAACTCGGTCACCTGGCCTCGTCCTATTATCCTATTATCGTTCCAGCGTAGTGCAAACGTGGCAGGTGTTTTAATCCGTTCGTTTTATTGCTCATGCTATGAGATTAAACGTGCAGGACCTTCCTTAGCTATACCCGTGTTAGACCCCGTCGATGACGTTATTCTTTTTCATGTGGTCTCTCATTTATTCATTAACAAGTTCTGTTATCTTTGATAATATTATGAGTAATATGGCTGACCTGTAGCAGACTGGATCTTTCCTACTTCCTTCTTTAAGGATTGACAAGAGTGAAACATTTCCTTTCCTTTCGAAATTGCTGTGTATTGTCGGTTATTATGTTAAGCCCATATACTTTATTTTGTCTTTCGCGCAATCCAATCTAGTCGTTCATCTTGAGTCATATTTTGGCCTTGTTAATTATTCGCTTATCAACCTTTGCTGTTTTTATATGATTGCATAGGTGTATGCCCTTCTTATCCTATTCATCACATGTGATTAAATATTGATTAAAGTTTGGCCAAATGGAGTTGGCTTACTGGCCATCTCCACTGCGCGTCGTTTCGCTTCGTTCTGTTCCATTCGCTTCATATACAAAATATATGTTTTCAAAAGTTCATTCTCGTTATTTGACTTATTTAATTCCGTTAATGACCAACATGATTTAAGCCGATGGTTATATACGAGGATAGGCTACATATGTATTTCAATAACAATCATTCATACGATCTAATTGGAGTCAGATCTCGGGCCACTAAAGTGGCGAGCCCGTCAAAAAACATAGTCTGATCTAAATGATGACAAAATATGGGGCCACACACTTGTCGCTCCCCTGATTTTCTGAACAGGTCATGTACCGATATACTGACTACTCCCTTGCAGTGGTGTGGCGTTACAGTTTTGAAGTAGCAAGTACTGTATATCGACACTCCACTTCTCAATTTGTGTACCGAGTCCCATCAAGAAAGCTTTATGGCTTGCATGCTCGCTTCGTCGCCCGTGATGTCGGGTGGTAGCCATATTTCAGTCAAAACTATAGCCTTCAAGCTCCACTGGAAGCATATGTTTCTAAACCCTATTAATTTACTCCCCAGCCAATTTACGTTGGTTGGGAGACACTTGATGGTTTACTTAACCACATAATGCTCCTCTACAGTAGTATCTGTTTTGTTGTTTAGACCTAATGAACCTAACAGTTATTCAGAGTTGTGAGATGACAAACATGTCAAGGAAATGAGGGTATACCTGTATGAACGACCATTTCAACTCAGTAACAATTACACTGAAGACTTCGACACCCTAAAACTTAACAGAGACGTCGAGCAAATGTCTTGCTTATTCACATCATTATAGATATTATCAGCCATATCTTTTTGATTGTTGTTAATGAAATAGTTTTATCTTATACACTTATGTACCACGTATCGCCTCCTGTAAAAAACTGTATTGCGTAAGTCTTCATTAATTTGAATTTTCTCGTGACGTGGTTCGTATGGAGGCAAGTACGTTCAGGCTTCTATACACTGAGGAGCCAGGAATATAGAAGTTCCCAAAATAGCGAAAAAAACAAAATGGTCAGTGATGCTCACAGTTCTTTTGTTACCAAGCGCACCAAATATTGCAGTGATCCAACTAATTCATATATATATATATATATATATATATATATATATATATATATTACCTCTGTAGAAATGAAAGTTCGAGGACAAAGTGAGCCTGATACAAGCCTTTTACTCATTGAGTTCATAAGATCAATACTTAGAGTATTATATAGGTTGTGGTGGACCAGACAATGTATGAACTTGAAAAGTATCAACAAAGTTATTAAAGACCAGTAGTAATATTAATATATACCAGTTAACTGTTACAAATACAATAAAAAAATTGGGACTTTCCTTAAGTTCACCAAATTGATGCGTGTTCAGCTTTAGTCTGGTACAGTAAACCCACAATTATAATTGCTTGGTAATTCCAATCTAGTTAACTAACTCTCCAGTAGCGTAATCCAGTGTAAGGTATGGTATATTCCCACTCACAGTCTATAAATGTAAGTAATATTTGGTTTAGATTTCAGTTAACTCAATCACACGTGAAAATAGAACGAGGGATATGTGTGTAGCAATGTATTTGTTAACAAGCCACAGTATGTCACGCTATATAGTTACGCAACCGAAAATGTGTTCAAGGTCTTCCACTTAAACAACAAGTAAAGTCATTTAATGACAAATGTACATACAGTTAGAAATTGACAAAATACAAATAACATTAGAAACTATGTACAAAATAGGCTTGTCAGGCATATCTCCGCAAGGTGCATAAAGCCTAATACTTCAAAGCCCAAATGTATTGCCAAAGAAATTAATGGACGGATAGCAGATCCAACCTAGTGATATCCGTTAAAGGAACTGTTTTAAAAATTGCTTCACAACAGGGTTATGAAACATAAGCATCTTACGAATGGTCGGAATTAAACAACAAAGAATTTTTGACGAACGAATATTCAGAAGACTTTCCAGATTTAAGCATCAAACATGGTTGCAAACTGTCCTCGTTTAAGCCTAAAATAATGCACTCGATGAATTGGATATATTCAATTGCGTTTCGGAGATTACCAAAACTCAGAGAAACCATGTTTTATTGGTTACCAGGTCTATTGCTACCAAAGTCAAAAATCTAGATCTCTGTAACATACACTTGTTTTCTTAAAATGCGAAACAACGGCAGATGGTCCCAAACTCCTTAAACCGTTCTTTGTACGGGAGATTTATGTCATAGGCAAGGGTAACCGTGTTTATTTTTTAGCTTTTATACTTCCACCAATTCAACCACAAACTGTAGATAGTCCTGTTTATGTTCTCCCTAGCAACCGCTTCAGGAAAAAACCACGCACAAACGCGTTGGCGATAACTATACTAGTAGCTACATATATCTCATATACACTAAAGACACAATAAAGACTGCCTATCTTACTGATACTGGAGTAAAAGTTAACGCACTTGCTGTGAATTCTATGGATTGTTAAAGCAAGCGCACATTCAATCTGCAGGCAACCAACCTCAAACTGATAGTCAGCAACTGAGAAAGATATATTCACATAAGGGCAGCTCACACAGACCCATTACTAGGCTATCCTTTATGCAGAAGTCTCAGTGCTTACAATTGGAAAGAATTTGCGAGAACACCACTAGTAGCAGATAGATCTATGAAATTAAAGATGTAGTTGAAAGAAGAAATAAAGCATTTATTTCGGGTACACTTTTTTCTGATCGTGATTTTCATTAACCCGAATTCAACATAAAATTTGCATGTACTTTTAGCTTGTAAGGCGGTCATCAGGAACCCCTTATAACCATCGACGGAGTCATATGTGGACAATAGCTTTACGTAATACAGAGCAACTAAGGCGTCACCTGCATTTTTAAAGCGACGAATTTATCTGTCTTGAAAAAACATAAAAGATGGACAGATTACTATGTGGGTTGCCAAGAATAAGAAGTAGCTAAACATGATAAATTTCCATGTTGCTTCTCTCTTGTCTTCCAAAACATGTGGTTCGTTACCTAGAGCGTTACTGCTAAGGCAGTGGCGTGCACGTGGTTTGTACAACAGAACTCAAACTTTTGTTGCCAAGCGATTATCTTGACAGGCTTTGAATTTTAAGTCAAATATAGACTATCTCACTGTTTATAACCAAAGTAGACGACCTCTGTCGGTGACTGAGGGCTTACGCGAGTTGGATGGGATTGGTTAGCTTCTAGATTACATCAAAAACACATCATAAGATTAGAAAATAACATATATTACGCTTCCGCCGTATCCAGGTACTATGACTATCATGACAACCGTACTAAACTTACAACATTGTTACAGAAGTATATTGATGAGAACAGATGTAAGGTATAGAGCGCGACCACTGCCGCATGAAGCAGTCGATGATATGAAATTGACTGATGCGTGTCGGTTGTCCTTGGTTTGATAAGAAACACTAAGCTGTTAGTTATTCAGCGATACGGCTGCCGTATGATTCAGCTACGACCCAGTCACATTTTACTGGTCACATCCTATGATTTAATAAAGTCTTCAGCGACATATGGTTCCAAACGTATGCATGCCCCCCAAAATCAGTCACATGTTGAAAAGATATATTGGATTAGAGGAACACTATGTGTACAACGGACTTTTAGCCTCACTTAAACCATTGACCATATATAACATTGATATCACCCAAATCAATCTTATAAAAAACGATAACGAAGACGTTCTAAGTTCTTCACATCTTTTCGAAACACGTGCTGAGTTTTTCTATCTAGAACAACAACGACGTTAGGACAAACAACGTGACATTTCGATGACTAATTATTATTTTATAGATGCACGAAATTTGATGATAAATAGTGCACACTGACCTCATAGGATTAAGTCTCATTAGTGATAAAACAATATTTTACATTCACTGGAATTCGCTTTGATAAAAACCACTGATTTATATTTCAAAGAACTATTTTTGTGCATTGGAACACTCCAACGCTTGCGCGCGTGTCCAATATATTTCAACGTGAAGGGATGGATGAGTACGAACATTACAACTACGAAGAGGATAAAGTAGCGGGGTCTAAAGGCGGCAAAAATAGAACGAAGAGGGATGTTGAGGAGCATCATAAAAAGTCGGAAAATAGGACAAATCGTATCCACATTGACTATCAAGTCAATAATGAGGAAAAGCAACGAGAACAAAACCTCAAACACGGATCGGAGAATAGTACGTCTACTTAATGCAATTAACCATTGTATTTCAGAAAAATAACCCTCTTCTCCCATAACCACGTATTCGTAATAAAACTTTTTAATGCAATTTGCTTATGAGATGTCCATACATTAGTGGTTCTTAGTCATTTTGTAGCTGCATTCATCCGACAATACCGGTTACACTGCTCTTCGAGACACATTACTAAGTTATTCAAATAATAAGTAGGTGAGAAATATTGTGCGACAAAAGTAATAAAGAATATATAAGATTCAAACGAGATTTGTTTTGGGGACGGTAAACCTTAGTTAATATTTCCCCTGTACATTTCTGTGGATGTTTAGTCTTTTTCTAGATGAGTTAGTAAACGGCTCAGACTCATTTCGGTAGTAGCCTCAGAGGTCTGATTGACTGTTTTTTAAAACATATATATTAGGATTCTTGATCGTTGCATCTAAACGTTACTTCCGGGTTATTATAGATTAGATTGAATTAAACCATTTCTTAATGTCCTGGACACTGTAACTAGTCAATTTGTGGTAGGGTATTGTATAAAGTTGTAACTTTTTGGACCTGCTGCCTTGCTAGTTTAGTATCTGGAATCCGTCCCCAATCTCCCCATTTTGGGGTTTTCTTCGAAGTTGTAAGGAATGTGGCAGTTTCTCCATTGTGTGGGGAAAAACTCAGAAAGTTCTGAGATTCTGGGGAAAACCCAAACATTTCAGGGATTTCCCCCAGACCTGGGGAAGTTTTTGTGCGTTTGTGCCATTTCCTCAAAGTTTCCAAATACTGCTTCCTAAAACACAAAATTTTCCATCAAAATAGAGAAACTGGCTAGGATAATGATTCTCTGTATTTCTCCCAAAAGACCTAAATCGACTATTCGACATAAGGTTTTCAAATTTAAGAGGTAACTCAGAAATTTGATCATACGAGGTTTAGTTAGTGTAATTTCTTCGTCTAGCTTGGGTTATACAAGTCGAATGACACAAAGTACATCATCAGGACGACTTTATTTTATGATGATGCTCTAAGCAGTCCCAGTAAGACTGTCGATTAACCAGAAAGATTGGTTTAGAAAGTCTCGATAATTCATATGAACTAGACAGGTATTTTTGTCTGAACGTCTAGGATAGGTTCATTTCAATTATTATTTCTCAAAGAAAAAGACTCACTTGAATTTCACTGGGAAACCTGCTTTTATTTTTTGGACTAATCACTAGAAGGCAGTACACAGTGGGTAATCAATAAAATGCATCCTGAGATCTTAAATGTCATACTTCCTAGAACGGGTTAGGTGCTGCAGGGACGGCTTTCCCACCAGTGTTATTTGTAGCTATTAGTAATGATACCGTCAAATAGCCATATCATAAGCGTCGTTACAACGAACTTACGGGGTCGTATTCCGTGTATGCCACGCATAATCAACTACCCTGCTGCATACTTGTTCATGAGTAGTATCGAATGGTCCATTCAACAGGACAAGAACTTTGTAGTTGAGATAAGACTATGTAACTCATGACGGAAGTAATTTTCTGGATACGCGAGGCGTTCATTCAACTACTTCACTGTTAAAATGCTTCACATACCAATCGTTTTCACTCGAGATATTAACGGAGATCTTAGATTGTTCAGTTGTACGCATTGTTAAATCATAACTGGATCTTTGCCAGTATATACTCTAGTGGGTGAAAAGTCAAGCATCAGATAAGAATTTTTGGTGCAGTCTCATGTTTGTCGCCTATTATTTGAATATTTTCATAGCATAGGATAAATTACAGGTTAATTAAGAAAGATTGTGACTTGTTCTTTTGACCGGTAGTGGATGTACTTTGTGAAAATGACATTCTTACTTTAACATCGTCATATCTGGACACCCGCTTGTTGAACTTCGGCAAAAACAAATATTTATAGGGTCAGTGGATTTAAATAGCAGATGAACTAGAAGCAAGACCTCTGAAGAGACCACAATACTCATTAGATTAGGCTTTTCGATTAATCCCTGTGGGGCGTTGTTTGGTATTTCTTTGATGCTCTACAGACGAGAGAATTTGACAGTAAGACCAAGTAATTGTTTTATCTGACATTGATAGGTATTAGTCAGACTCTTGAATCACGAGACGATATGAAAATCCTCAACTCATCGATTCAAACAACTTTGGTTAGTGTAATAAGATGAAGATTATCAGAACTATGCCCAAGTATGCATAGCATATGCCATCATTCCCTTCTGGGAAAGGTGGTGCACCCCCTTAAGCTTCATTCTAATAAGGAAATATTTTCAAATACATCTGCGAATTGTTAATTTGTGTGAGTTAACGATACTGAACAGAGGTGGTAAAGTCGGTCTTGAAAAAACGTCTTCTTTAAATGACCTACACTTTAGAGTCCTTGAAGTGCCGTTTTGTTCTTGGAGAATAGATAGTTTATCTTACTCAAAATACAATGGATTGAATGGTTTATTAAGGGAGTGCAACATTATAAATGGTTGAGTCTTACCAAATATTACCAATCATTATGTAAGTCCAATCCTTACAGATTTCTCCATACTTACTAATTTAAGTTCATGTGAAGAATGACTTTTGGTAAATTGGCCTAGAAAAAGTAAGAACTATTGATCCCTATACATTGTTCCACATTGTATTTTTTGAGGCAGCAAAACTTTTGATCGTTAAACAGTTTGACATTCTACTTATTTATGTTTGAATATGAATGAGAATTATCAACATCGATGCGACAGCTTCCTTATGCAACGATATAACTTACTACTAAGAAGGAATAACTTTAATATGCATTTACACAAAGAATCATAATGAGATAAAGTGTACAACAAACATTGTCATCAAGCTTCCTAGATTACTTCAGATCTAATTATTTTAAGGTCCAAACACACCAACACACGCCGGTCTCAGAGGTCGTCCATGTAATTGATAACCTACTTTTGTGACCACAGCGACTGTATTCTTTTCCTTTCCAGCTACCAAAGGAGCTTGGAACACAGCTTCATGAATATTTGGGTCAAAATGTTCACCAACTTGTGGAGAAATCTGGACTAAATTATAGCGGGAGAAAACCTAATATGTAACAAAAAAGAAATATTTAAATCTTAGCTATGATAATTGAAAACCAGAAGCTACTATAACCGTTTTTATTTTGTCTAATGAGCTTTATTAGATGGTTGTGATGTCCTATTATAAGTTTGGATTATAAAACAAATGGTGCAGTTATAATATATTCATTTTGGCTCATCGCATTTATGGTTAAGCTGATGGTGAAACGATTGCACTTATAAGCGAATCTAGTTAGTGTTCCTCCTACATCGACTTTCAACCCTAAACTTCCTCCTCAAGTGTCACCATAGCCAACGATTCTAGTGCTCAAAACTCTGTCCCAGGTCTACTGAAACCTCGCTCCAAACTACACATTGGAGCTTTCAACGTACGCACTCTATGTCAAATCGGTCAGAAGGCTTCCTTGGCTAAAACCCTAGAGTCTCTTTCCATTGATGTATGCTGTGTCTCCGAAACACGCATACAGGATTCCAGTGTGGTCATTCACTTGACCTCACCTCGGCAAAACGGAGAGCCAACGAGATACACCCTACGTGTATCTGGTGACCCAATGGCCAGTTCTCGTGGACTGGCAGGTGTAGGCATAGCACTAAGCATGAGGGCGGAACAAGCACTGCTAGAGTGGATCCCCGTCAGCAGTCGTCTATGTGCTGTTCGGCTAAACGGCTCCGTAAGAACTCGGAAGGATAGGGACACACGTCGTTGCCTTTTTGTCGTTTCTGCCTACGCTCCCACTGACTGCAGCTCAGATGATGTGAAAGATGAATTTTACAGAAAGTTATCTGAACTTCTTCAGAAAGCTAAACGCTCAGACATAGTATTCATAGGGGGTGACTTTAATGCTCAGATAGGTAGCTTAAACCACACAGAAAGGCATTTAGGTGGATATTTTAGCATTCCGGCACAGCGAACAGATAATGGTGACCGTCTGCTGCAACTGTGCTCAGACAATCGCTTATTTTTAGCAAACACAAATTTTAAGCATAAGGAGAGACATCGTCTAACATGGCGACCCCCTACACCAAACCAACGATGAACTCAAATAGACCATATTGCCATCAGTCATCGTTGGAGAGGGTCGGTAGAAGATTGTCGCTCATTCTGGAGTACCTGCTTGGACTCCGACCACGCCCTAATACGGGCACGCATCTGCTTGCGCCTCACCGGAAGCAAAAAAGCCACATTGAAAAGACCCATTAGAACTAAGTTGAGTAACGAGAAAACCAAAAATAGGTTCCAAGAACAACTGAGTTCACACTTAGGTAGTTCTGAAGACGAGGCTGACCCAGATGTTGCTTGGAAAGACATACAAGCAGCTGTGGAAGCAGCAGTGACATCTATTAGCGACTTAAACCACAGAGTTTCAAAGAACCAGTGGATTTCTTCAAAGTCTATCACACTGATGGGTTCTCGCAAACTCGTCCCATCAGGTTCCGAACATGATGAAGAGCGACAACAAATCAGATCTAGGTTAAGAAAAAGTTTAAGAAACGACCGTGAGCAGTGGTGGGCAACGAAAGCAAAAGAGATGGAAAAGGCGGCGACTATAGGGAACACAAGACAACTTTACAGACTAATAAAAGAAACTGGAATTAATAAGTCAAGTGTAAGTGAGATTATATCGGAAAAAGACGATACTTTCATCCATTTCCAGTCCAGACGTTTAGAACGATGGGCGGAACACTTTAGGGAACAGTTCAGCTGGCCTTCAGCTACGCTACAACTACCCTCCATTCCCAGACAGCGTGAATGGAACATTGAAGTAGGTCCCCCAACTCTTGCTGAAGTTCAAAAGGCTATAGATAATCTGAAACGAGAAAGGGCAGCTGGTCCAGATGGACTGGTTCCAGAAGTCTTTAAGGATGGTGGTCCAATTTTAGCGGTTAGGTTGACTAATATTTTAGCTAAGATCTGGGAGTTAGACGTTATTCCATCTGACTGGTCACAATCACTTATCGTCCCAATATATAAGAAAGGGTCAAAATCATCCTGTGACAACCACAGAGGGATTAGTTTAACTAAAATACTAGCTTCGATAATTATCAGACGCCTAACTAAGACTCGTGAACTGCAAACACGAGAAAACCAAGCTGGCTTCAGACCTGGTCGTGGCTGCATCGACCACATATTCACCATTCGTCAGGTTCTAGAACATAGGCATACTTATCGGCGTCCGACGATGGTGGTCTTTCTTGACTTAAAAGCAGCATTTGACTCGGTAGACCGCGAGGTTCTGTGGCAGTGTCTGTCATTGAAAGGCGTACCTCAGAAGTACATAAACCTTGTGAAGGCTCTTTACTCGAACACTACTAGTCGAGTGAGAGCTTATGACGAACTGTCATCTAGTTTTGCAACCTCAAGTGGTGTCCGTCAAGGATGTCCACTTTCCCCACTTTTGTTTAACTTCATCATAGATCTACTGATGGAAATAACTTTCTCGCCGACTGAGTTCTCGGGTATTGATCTCCTTCCAGGAGGTCCACTTATCGATTTAGAATACGCAGATGACATAGTCCTGTTTGGTGAAGACGCTGACAAAATGCAGAGTCTTCTGGTAGCACTGAGCAACAATGCCAGGATGTTTGGAATGCGCTTCTCTCCCTCTAAATGCAAGTTGTTGCTTCAGGACTGGTCTGCGTTAACACCTGAACTAAGGATAGGGAGTGAAGTTGTCAACGCGTTCGACTACTTCACTTATCTTGGAAGTCTGATCAGCCCTAATGGGTTGGTATCGGACGAAATCTCAGCACGGATTCGAAAAGCTCGTTCGGCTTTTGCCAACTTACGTCACCTGTGGCGAAGGCGAGATATCCGTCTATCAATAAAAGGACGAGTATACTGCGCGGCAGTCCGTTCTGTTTTAATTTACGGCAGCGAAACATGGCCTTTAAGGGTAGAAGACACTCGTAAGCTACTAGTATTTGACCACAGATGCCTTAGAAATATTGCTGGCGTCTGTTGGGATAATCGGGTAAGTAATAGTGAGGTTAGACGCAGGGTATTAGGAAAGGATGGTAAATCAGTTGACGAGGTTATGAATCTTCATCGACTGAGATGGTTGGGCCACGTGTTACGTATGCCTGAACACCGATTACCACGACGTGCAATGCTATCCGGTATTGGAAATGGTTGGAAGAAAGTTAGGGGCGGCCAAACCAAAACGTGGCATCAGTGCTTGAAGCCACTAACTTCTAGTCTGAGCCATGTTGGTAGATGCAGACTACTTGGTTGGGGTCCGCGTGACTATCGAAACCAATGGTTGGAGACTCTTGGTGACATGGCTCAGAATCGATCACAATGGCGTCGGTGTATACACTCCCTGTCTTCCCTTAAACTAAGAGATTAAAAGCGCTTCATATCTTTCTTTCTACGAACTAATTCTATATTCCGGTACTGTATCCTTATATGCAATCTTTCTCCTATATATTACCACCTTGTCAACGCGTTCGACAACTTCACTCCCTATCCTTAGTTCAGGTGTTAACGCAGACCAGTCCTGAAGCAACAACTTGCATTTAGAGGGAGAGAAGCGCATTCCAAACATCCTGGAATTGTTGCTCAGTGCTACCAGAAGACTCTGCATTTTGTCAGCGTCTTCACCAAACAGGACTATGTCATCTGCGTATTCTAAATCGATAAGTGGACCTCCTGGAAGGAGATCAATACCCGAGAACTCAGTCGGCGAGAAAGTTATTTCCATCAGTAGATCTATGATGAAGTTAAACAAAAGTGGGGAAAGTGGACATCCTTGACGGACACCACTTGAGGTTGCAAAACTAGATGACAGTTCGTCATAAGCTCTCACTCGACTAGTAGTGTTCGAGTAAAGAGCCTTCACAAGGTTTATGTACTTCTGAGGTACGCCTTTCAATGACAGACACTGCCACAGAACCTCGCGGTCTACCGAGTCAAATGCTGCTTTTAAGTCAAGAAAGACCACCATCGTCGGACGCCGATAAGTATGCCTATGTTCTAGAACCTGAAGAATGGTGAATATGTGGTCGATGCAGCCACGACCAGGTCTGAAGCCAGCTTGGTTTTCTCGTGTTTGCAGTTCACGAGTCTTAGTTAGGCGTCTGATAATTATCGAGGCTAGTATTTTAGATATTATATTAGTTAAACTAATCCCTCTGTGGTTGTCACAGGATGATTTTGACCCTTTCTTATATATTGGGACGATAAGTGATTGTGACCAGTCAGATGGAATAACGTCTAACTCCCAGATCTTAGCTAAAATATTAGTCAACCTAACCGCTAAAATTGGACCACCATCCTTAAAGACTTCTGGAACCAGTCCATCTGGACCAGCTGCCCTTTCTCGTTTCAGATTATCTATAGCCTTTTGAACTTCAGCAAGAGTTGGGGGACCTACTTCAATGTTCTGTACCAATATATATGTGTTCAAATAAAAATATTTCTCGACCTTAAGGCACTATTCGACTCTGTTGATTGTAAGGTTCTATGGCAGTGTTTGTCACTGAAAGGAGTACCAAAGAAGTACATTACCCTTTTAAAGGTTCTTTACTCGAACACAACTGGTGGAGTGAGAGCTTATGGCGAACTGTCATCAGAATTGATTACATCAAGTGGTGTTCGTCAGGGCTGTCCACTCTCTCCATTCTTGTCCAACTTTGTGGTTGTCGTACTTTTAGAGATAACACTCTCCTCATCTAAATTTCCAGGGGTTGAATTTCTACCGGGAGGTTCACTTGTTGACTTAGAATATGCTGATGACATAGTTTTATTTGGTGAAGACGCTGAAAAAATGCAGAGTCTTCTGACCACTCTAAGCAACAATGAAAGCATGTTCGGGATGCGATTCTCTCCCTCGAAATGCAAAATGTTGCTACAGGATTGGGTTGCATTGACACCCGAACTAATGATAGGGAATGAAGTAGTTGAGTGTGTCGACCGCTTCACTTATCTTGTTAGTCTCATCAGCCCTTGTGGTCTGGTGTGTGACGAAATCTCAGCACGGATACGGAAGGCTCGACTAGCTTTTGCTAACTTGCGTCATTTATGGCGTAGGCGAGATATCCGTCTATCAACCAAAGGACGGGTTTACTACTCAGCGGTTCATCCCGTCCTACTTTATGGCAGTGAAACATGGCCGGTAAGAGTAGAGGATATTCGTAGGCTACTAGTATTTAATCATAGGTGTCTTCGAAATATTACTCGCATATCCTGGGACCATCGAGAAAGCAATGCAATTGTTAGGAAACGGGTACTAGGTAAGGATGGCAAATCAATTGATGACGTAGTGAAACTTCATCAGTTGAGATGGCTGGGGCATGTGCTACGTATGCCCAACCACCGACTGCCTCGACGTGCGATGTTCAGTGGTATAGTAGATTGGAAGAAAGCTAGGGGCGGCCAGATCAAAACATGGCACAAGTCCATGAAGTCACTGACAAGTAGACTGAGTCATATTGGTAGGTGTAGACTACCTTGTTAGGGACCGCGAGATAATAGCAACCGATGGTTAGAGACCCTGAATGACATGGCTCAAAATCGTTTGCAATGGCGCAGGTGCATCCACTCTTTGTGTTCTCCCAAATTCCAATATTCAGAATTCTTCATGTCCCTTTCTGTTTTCTCTTTCCAGATTTATTTCACTGGATTATACTCCTTGAATAACATCTTCAAACCCTAATTTTTCTCATTACAGCTTATAATTTTACTACATCTAGCACTACGAGATTTGAATCGACCACTGCATCTGTGCTAATGTGGTGTGGCAACTCGAACTGATGTACGTACGTACGTACGAAGTTCTACGTTGTTACTGACTGACTGACAGAAAGCACACAGGAACAACGCAAATATAATGTATACTTTAAACCGGTGAAGTACCATGAGAGTTGCTGGGGCCTGAGCTTGTTCTTGAATTTGTTGATAAACCACTAGTCAGAGTCCATGGTAATCAAGGGAGTATCATTTAAAGTGGAGAAGTCAAAGTTGGATGTGGCAGACCCAGTTTCTCTCTGTCCAGACTATGCTAGTCTTGAATTATCATTTTATTACTATATGAAGCTCCGAATGAATCTTAATTTTGCCTAGTACTTCGCGCCGAGGGGCATAGGCCACCCGCCATGATTCTTCAATCAACTCTGTCTTGGGCAGTCATTTTTAATTGCCACTCATGTTTTAGTTGTTTGCTTCCAGTTCCCGACGCAGTGTGTTCTTTGGCTTGCCTCTCTTTTTTCTTTTCAGGATTCCAAGTTACGACTTGTTTCGTGAGACAGTCTGATGATTCCCGCAATATATGTCCTATCCACCTCAGATGTATTTTTTCAGTTTCTTCAACCGGAAGTTGGTCTGTTTTCTCGCATAGTAGATTTTTGCTGATGGTATTCGGTTTGTGTAGACAAGTGTCTATAAATACGTTTACTTTTTTATGGTACTTGTGGTAGCTCTACAAGTTTTAGCTCCACACAGTAGAACTGTCCTGACGTTCGTATTGAAGATTCTGACTTTAGTGTTGGTTGACAACTGTTTGAGTTTCATATGTTCTTCAACTGTAGAAATGTCACCCTTCCTTTGGCAATCCTTATCTTCACGTCTGTATCAATGATGCCGACCAGATATGTGGAAGTTTACACGTCTTTCAGAGTTTCTCCATCAAGTGTGATTGGGTTGGTGCTCTCCGTGTTGTATTTCAGGGTCTTGATTTTTTCCTTTGTGTACATTGAAGCCAGCTGCTGCTACATTGGCTGTTTCCACTTGTGTTTGTTAGTGTATATAGGGTAGAAGAGCTAAGTCATCTGCAAAGTCTGAATCGTCTAGTTGCATGCACGCTATCGATTGTATTCCGTACTTCCCCTGAGATATGGATGTTTTCCTAATTCAGTCGACCACCAGAAGAAAGAAAAAAGGTGAAAGTAGACAGCCTTGTCTGACGTCGATCTTCACTTGGAATGCATCTCTGAGCTATCATCCATGCACGACTTTGCAATGTAATCCGTCGTATGAATTCAGTATGATGTTGACGATCTTATCAGGTACATCATGGTGCTCCAAATGGAAGTATAAGTAAATTCACTATTTTGAAACTTCATTGTCGTTTATATAGCTTTGTAGTGTACAGTCTCGTGGCGTTATCTGAATGTTTATTATTTATTTATTTGAACACACAAATATTGGTAGAAGGGGGCACCAGATACATATGCGCCACACAGAACAATGAGAATCGGAAGAGGGAAAAGGAAGGTAAGAAACCGAAAACGTCAACTGGGTTCCTACGAATGATGTTTCAATTATAACTTACACTTATGACTGGGGACACATTTATATGTACACTATAGCCATATGTTTCTCTTGTAACATATTTACTATCGATTACTTAAATTGAATTGGTAGTGTAAAAAGGGAGAGGTTCAGTTTAATATCTACAACGAAGAACTACACTGAACCACACAGAAGTGCCAAGTAATTTATGGGAAATTTTCGAAATATAGGATGTGATCACAAAGGGCTCTTACCTTGAACAATTGGCTTTCTGTCAATACTAATCCATGGTACAAATTAGCGAACGGAGGATTAACTCCATCTTTTAATTGGTCTTGAGGAGCTGATTTAGTAGCAGATGTTAAAATATCAGCCACTTCCAGCAAATCTTTGCAAAAACTTTGGATACCGAATAGTTTGGCTTCATCTATCTGTTTCATCAAACGTTTCCGCATGTTTTCGGACTCGGCGAGAGCCCTTTTATATTTGTCATCTAAATCATTATATCTTTCAGTTATTTTCTGCATTTCAGTCTTTAAGGATTCTATTTCTTTATCACTTTCTTTCGGCGTTGACTCTCCAACGGCTTCTGTGCTAAATTTACGATTGAGATGCAATCCAAAGTAGCCTTTTCCAATAGAAGTCACAGGGCAACTAGCGTAAAAAATAGACAAAAACGAAAACTTACCGAAACTGCTCCAAGTGTGTAGTATTTAGATGAACACTACGCGAAAACCTGGCAACAATGTTTAGCGCCATAATAAAATTGTAAAAATTAGTTCGCTGTACAGATGATCAAATATATTACGTCAAAGGAACGAGTACTATACAAAAGTAAATACAATAGTGCGTTGACATACAATATAATATATATATATATATATATATATATATATATATATATATATATATATATATATAATGGTATGAAATACACTAAGTCCTATTACAATCATTTAAACATCTCGGAAATATGTGAACATGTTTTCACACTAGCAATTTATTCATCCAGGTTATGTAAAACAGACAAAACCAATTAAGTAAATTTATTTCGTAGCCACCGTCTTAATAAACCTAATTTTGTTTAGTGTGTCTTAGATAATACCAAGTTAGATCCAAACAAAAGCTCATTTTTTAAAATGAAATACGCTGTGATTCTTATGTTGACGGGTCACATACAAATAGTACTCCGTATCTTCTTAAAGATCAGTGTTTACCATGAAAGGAAGTTTTTCTATGAATAAGTAACAGAAAACCTGGAAGCCTGTAGGGTTTCAGTAAGATACTGTTGGTCGTTATTATCCCTTCCAAACAAAATTCGTGATATTGGACATAACTTGGACGAGGAGCATCTTTTGATTCTGAAGATAAGGAAAGAGTGAACGGGACGCTATCTGGATGGAAACTTGTGGGGAGTGTACAGCAAGGTATGACTTGGACTTTGCGCTTCGAGACGGCAAATATGGTCCAAAAGTTGATGCTTGAAGATTAACCCTAGCAACAGTTCACCAACGTATATTGGTCACCGTAATTATCAAGGTACTATTGACAAGACATTAGGTTTCGTGTAACAGTCACATTACAGAAACTTTGACATGTATAGGACTTTATACTTCATCTGAGTGAGACCATATCTGAAATATTGTATTCTAGTGGCTAATACATGTCTCATTACTGGAATCAATTCGATGGGTTTACTAAATACGAGCTTACGCAGTCGGATATCGATCACATTGCAAGAGGGCTAGTGATACTCGCCGAAACCCCAAAACTTATAACATGAAGACTAGACGCCAATTGTCAGACCACTCTCATTAAAAGTGCCTCTAAATTGTAAGTAATAAGTTGACAGAACTTACCAATCTTTTCCATGAAGACTAGTCTGACCCCTAATCTTTTTGCTTGATCCACGACAACCTGTTCCGCGCGCTAGTACAGAAATGTCCAGAAAGCGCGGTCGGGATAACCTAGATTGCTTGTTTTCCCAGTTGGAAGATGAGAGGGTATGTTTTAACAACATGCTGCAACAGTGGACGCGTTCAGTATCCAAAAGGATAATTGACACTCCCGAGTACCCTGAAACGGCAGAGGGTGTGGAAGGATTGCTCTCCTCAAAACGCTTCCGCATGGACACGCACATGTATCTACTACCCAGAAAGTTCTGCACACTGGCTTTTCGCGGCGGCGGACGAAAAGCAATATTCGGTCGTCAAAATGTGTTGTTGAGTATGGATTTGGAAAACCCCAATTCCAATGCTGTAATGCACATAGGCGCCACGATACTGAGCGAACAAATGGCACATAAACCTACTCTAGATGTTACTTTAACATTGTGCAGTACGTAATATAATATACTCTTTGAGTAAAGACACAATTTAAGTGAGAGAGATTCTGAAAATTCATGGAAATCCTGGCCGAAAACCAAATGAAGTTTATGGAGCAAAATGGAGATATAAACGAAACAGGATGGCTTCAGGAAGGGTAGGTTGTGAACTTAAAATATCTTGATAGTGTAGGACAGCCTGACAAACCGGCAAGATCGGAAAGTTGGCTGATACCGCTTATTGATTTCGACAAGGCATTCAATATCGCATTACCAAGTTTCCTGTTTATTATCATTTATTTATTTTAACACATAAATATTGGTACAAGAGGGCACCAAACATATATGCGCCACACCATATTTGTCTGTGTGGGCTGTGATAGTGCCCGAACGCCCAGACCGAAACAGGTGGTTTTCTTAGGGGACCACACTCCGAGCCTTTGACCTAAAGGTCTGATCCACAAGGAAGTGGAGAATAGTAAGGGGATGCAGTCCCGTGATAGCCGGTGACCAACGATTAGTTCATACGCCATTCGTTCCCTCAGGGTACTGGAGCCCATGTGTGCCATTGGTTTGGGGTCCGGTTAAAGCGTCGAACATTCGCTTTTCGTCCTCTCATTTTCGTAAACAACACCCCCGCCACGAGAAGACAATGAGTAGGACTTCCCTGGCAGAGGCTGTATGCGCGTGGCCGTGTGAGAGCATTTCGAGAGGGAGGGCGAGCCCACCCCACTCTCGGCGTGGGTCTGAATTGCCAATCATATCTTGGATGTGAAGGAATTCTATGAGTGTCGATGTCCTGTGTACAGCGTGAAGCAATTCTAAGTTATAAACTTTTCCGTATATTCATCAGTGATTAGTCAGTATTTAGTTCGCTGGTACACCGCTACTTGTAAGATTGTAAACAAACATCAGATGCGAGGACTCCGGGAGAACTGTAAGATTTGAAGTTACTGGAGTGAATAAAAGCCCCCACTTCTGATGGGGGATAAAGATCGGTTGGCGAATACAGAGAAGATCACGAAAATAATAGAAATTGTTATTAACGAAACAGTTTTTAGTGAAGATCATTGAAACTGCGAATCCTATGCAAAGCTATGTCACATTAATTTGGTCATTTACAATCAAGTTACTGACTACATTAAAGGGATCTACCAGTGACTAGTCATTGGTTGTTATTAAAGTGTGAATAACTGAGTGTGATCCCAGTCTCCCTACTTTGGGTAAATTCTGGGGTTTCCCTAAAGTTGTAAGAAATATGGTGGTTTTCATTAAAGTTCGGGTAGAAAGCCCAGTGTCATAAGATTCTGCATAGAACCCAAAATTTCATCAAACCTGGGAGAATTTAGGGGTTTCTGTGCCATCTCCTCAAAACAGACAAAATTTTCTTCAAAATAGGAAGATTGGGGTGCTTCGATGTTATGAACGAGTTAAGCTTTAAGGTCTCAGTTACTTACATATAAACATAGAGTAGCTTGCAATTTTTGTACTAAAATTCATGAGTATGGTAACTGACAGCATTATTTACATGCGTCAACTCACGCAGATTTCCTTAGCGTTTAGCCTGACAGATTTGTGTATGGCCTAAAGTTATGTTGAGTGCTGAGGAGGTAAAGGCAACTCGCAACAATAACGAGATCAAGACGACTTGATAAACAAGAACCGAAGTTAGAAGAGCAAGATTACAAATGCGCTACAACGCCACAGTTTCAATATAGCGGTAATTGACCTCCGACTGGCCTTCACGTGCCAATGAAGCTCTAGTTAAGTTTGCATCAGGAAAGTCGTTATATTGCACAAAAAGTAGGCCATCATCCGTATTTTGATTTCGTACCTAAAAAAGGTTATAGAAAACTTACAACAACAGATATATGGAAAGCTAACATATCAGCCATTCAGGAATGCGCTGCTAAGACAGATTGGTTTGTAGAGACTAGCTTATCAGTTTAAGAACCATGGTCTGTATTTTAAGATAAGTTTAGTTTAGTTACGTCCTCGTTCATACCATGTCTGAACTGAATAACAGTCCAGTATGGATAACAAAACCAGTCAGGAAACTTATTAGAAGCAGGAAGAAGCACTGGAACAATACAGGTCCAGTTATGGATTCTGGATATAGTCCGAAACAGTTATCCCCGTATATAAAAAGGCGAACTCAGAGAAGTGATGGAATTTCATCGCTTTTGATACAAGAATATTGTAGTAAAGTGTTTGCTGTCAGTAATGAAGAAAGACCAAAGATTCATTGTGATTTCAGTGGTTATTTAGTTATTTAGAAACGAACTGTCTTAAGGCTTCTTCAGCATCTCAAACCTAATAATTCCAGTGGTCCTGATGATATTCAATTTGGGATTATGAATGCCAGATCATATGTAATTGCTGGACCATTAGCGATACTGTTTGACATGTCGCTGAGGCAGTCCAGACTGCACAGAGACTGGAAAGACGCGATAATATGTTCGGTGTATGAGGCTGGGAGTAGGGGTTTACTTAGTAACTATAGACTTGTTAGCCTAACTTGTGCGGTTGTAAAACTGATGGAGAAAATCATTCGGATATCTGTTATATAAACTATGTTGAAGGGCATAATCTTTTCTCCTGGGTACAACTTGGTTTTCAGAGAGGCCTATCATGCTTGACAAATCTCATTCCAAGAGAAGATTGGGCTGCTGCAAAAGATCGGAATATTCCTGTAGATGTGATCTTCGATAAGGTTTCCCACTCTGGTCTTAAATTTAAACTAGAACGTTTTGGAATTCATTATATAGTCGTGGATTGGATAAGTAACTTTGTCCATGACAGGAGACAAAGGGCAAGGGTTAACAGGGCTCTCTCCTCGTGGGTACCTGTAAAAAGTGGGGTTCCCCAAGGTACAATCCTGAGTTCTCTTCTTTTTTTACTTTATGTAAATGAATTGCCAACTGTAGCAAAATCATCCGTCCTACTCTTCGCTGATGACATAAAGATTTGGAAATCCATACATAGTATGTCGGATAGAATAGTATTACAGGACGATCTTAGCTCATTGGTGGCATGGTTAGACAGGTGGTCACTAAGAGTAAATCCTAATAAGAGTGTAGTGTTGCAGTTAAATAACTCTGACGAATCGTATCACTATACACTACGTGGATTCGTGCTACCCAAAGTAAGAGACTATAAAAATTTAGGAGTCCTATCAAACAGTGATCTCAAAACGACTAGTCACTGTAAGACTGCTGCTGCGAAATGCTAAAGGGTATTATGGTCTATTCTTAGATCTTTCCAGTATTTAGATGGCAAAATGTTCGAATTATTATATCCGATTTGCGTGCGACCACAAGCAGTGAGTCCTTGTTTCAAGCATGGAGCAGATAGGTTGGAGTGAGTCCAAAGACGAGGTACTAAGGTGGTTGACGGTCTATCTGGCCTATATTACGAAGACAGACTGGAACACCTTAACTTATTTCCATTATCCTACCGTAGGATACGGGGTGATCTAATATTGGCTTATCGTATCCTGAACGATGACCTTGGTATTAACATGTCTTATCTTTTACTTCCGTCTAGGACTGACCATTTGAGGGGACATTCAAAGAAAGTTCAGAAACTGAGATTGAATCGTTTACGTCTGGAGTACCGTTTCTCGCAACGAGTAGTAAATTACTGAAATTCTCTACCGTAACACGTAGTGTCAGCACCTTCTGTTAATATATTCAAAACGAGATTGGACCTCCACAGTATTATAAACCGCAAGGATTAATATAGGTTGATAGACCTTATTACTGAAGACTGAACAGAATGAAACGTACATTTAATGTCTCATATTTTGTAACGAGCACTTACGGATCAAGACTAGCGGTAATGCTCGTAGCGTTCGCCTATTAAAGTAAGATTGGAACTTTTGGTTACTCACCACTCTACGCAGGCTTCCTCATGTTAGAGTAATACATTTGACATTTTGTGGGATTGAAGTCGTGTAATCTCGAAACTCTCACGTGTATCTCAGTGAATAAGGAGGCTGTATTGTGGTGATGAAACAATACTTTAAATACACAGTCAACTAATTTATGCTGTCTAAACCCATTAATAAAATGCAATCTCATACTGCGTAAGTCAATTTCAAATATATTACTTTGTCTGGTTGAAGATCTAGATTTATGTATATTAATTTCATATACCTGTACACCCTTTCAAATTCACATAAATATTTTGAACACAAGAGCGGCCATTCGTTAAGAAAGGTGTACATGTAATCTTGAGGGAACTGGTGCTCCCTGGCGGATTCGATCTCGTGTCACCCAGCTTCACAGTCAGAGACGTTACCACTGAGCTATCCGGGCCGTGACTATCCTCCTGTAGCACTGACATGTAATCACAATTGATTGATCACTGGGTGGTGATCAATGTCTATGTCATGCTTGTCTAGTCCTTATTAGTGCAGATCGAATGCTGTCGATCGTGTTGCAATGTGGCCACCAGTCTAGGTGACTCGACACTGCGGGCACTATGTATTGAGATTTAGATGGTGGTTGGAGGTAGTCAACAGGAAATCCTGGATCCGGGTTTCGTGCTACTTGGCACTCGTCAGCAAGGTGTACCTGTAATGTTGAGGGAACTGGTGCTGCCTGACCGATTCGATCCCGTGTCACCCAGCTTCACAGTCAGAGACGTTACCACTGAGCTATCCGGGCCGCGACCGACCTCCTGTAGCACTGACATGTAATCACAATTGATTGATCACTGGGTGGTGATCAATGTCTATGTCATGCTTGTCTAGTCCTTATTAGTGCAGATCGAATGCTGTCGATCGTGTTGCAATGTGGCCACCAGTCTAGGTGACTCGACACTGCGGGCACTATGTATTGAGATTTAGATGGTGGTTGGAGGTAGTCAACAGGAAACCCTGGACCCGGGTTTCGTGCTATTTGGCACTCGTCAGCAAGGTGTACCTGTAATCTTGAGGGAACTGGTGCTCCCTGGCGGATTCGATCTCGTGTCACCCAGCTTCACAGTCAGAGACGTTACCACTGAGCTATCCGGGCCGCGACCGACCTCCTGTAGCACTGACATGTAATCACAATTGATTGATCACTGGGTGGTGATCAATGTCTATGTCATGCTTGTCTAGTCCTTATTAGTGCAGATCGAATGCTGTCGATCGTGTTGCAATGTGGTCACCAGTCTAGGTGACTCGACACTGCGGGCACTATGTATTGAGATTTAGATGGTGGTTGGAGGTAGTCAACAGGAAACCCTGGATCCGGGTTTCGTGCTATTTGGCACTCGTCAGCAAGGTGTACCTGTAATCTTGAGGGAACTGGTGCTCCCTGGCGGATTCGATCTCGTGTCACCCAGCTTCACAGTCAGAGACGTTACCACTGAGCTATCCGAGCCGTGACTATCCTCCTGTAGCACTGACATGTAATCACAATTGATTGATCACTGGGTGGTGATCAATGTCTATGTCATGCTTGTCTAGTCCTTATTAGTGCAGATCGAATGCTGTCGATCGTGTTGCAATGTGGCCACCAGTCTAGGTGACTCGACACTGCGGGCACTATGTATTGAGATTTAGATGGTGGTTGGAGGTAGTCAACAGGAAATCCTGGATCCGGGTTTCGTGCTATTTGGCACTCGTCAGCAAGGTGTACCTGTAATCTTGAGGGAACTGGTGCTCCCTGGCGGATTCGATCTCGTGTCACCCAGCTTCACAGTCAGAGACGTTACCACTGAGCTATCCGTGCCGCGACCGACCTCCTGTAGCACTGACATGTAATCACAATTGATTGATCACTTGGTGGTGATCAATGTCTATGTCATGCTTGTCTAGTCCTTATTAGTGCAGATCGAATGCTGTCGATCGTGTTGCAATGTGGCCACCAGTCTAGGTGACTCGACACTGCGGGCACTATGTATTGAGATTTAGATGGTGGTTGGAGGTAGTCAACAGGAAACCCTGGACCCGGGTTTCGTGCTATTTGGCACTCGTCAGCAAGGTGTACCTGTAATGTTGAGGGAACTGGAGCTGCCTGACCGATTCGATCACGTGTCACCCAGCTTCACAGTCAGAGACGTTACCACTGAGCTATCCGGGCCGCGACCGACCTCCTGTAGCACTGACATGTAATCACAATTGATTGATCACTGGGTGGTGATCAATGTCTATGTCATGCTTGTCTAGTCCTTATTAGTGCAGATCGAATGCTGTCGATCGAGTTGCAATGTGGCCACCAGTCTAGGTGACTCGACATTGCGTGCACTATGTTGAGATTAGATGGTGGTTGGAGGTAGTGAACAGGAAAGCATGGACACGGGTTTCGTGCTACTTGGCACTCGTCAGCAAGGTGTACCTGTAATGTTGAGGGAACTGGAGCTGCCTGACCGATTCATCACGTGTCACCCAGCTTCACAGTCAGAGACGTTACCACTGAGCTATCCGTGCCGCGACCGACCTCCTGTAGCACTGACATGTAATCACAATTGATTGATCACTTGGTGGTGGTGATCGATGTCATGTGTGTCAAGTGCTTCTTAGTGCAGATCGAATGCTATCGATCGAGTTGCAATGTGGCCACCAGTCTAGGTGACTCGACACTGCGGGCACTATGTATTGAGATTTAGATGGTGGTTGGAGGTAGTCAACAGGAAACCCTGGACCCGGGTTTCGTGCTACTTGGCACTCGTCAGCAAGGTGTACCTGTAATGTTGAGGGAACTGGTGCTGCCTGACCGA